CCCCAAAACCCCAAAACCCCAAAACCCCAAAACCCCAAAATATAATCCCATTATAGAATCAATAATAATATAATAATCGAGAGTAAGCATGGAAAATTTCTGATTCATCCTCAGGCATACTAATTTTCTATAGGATGAACCTGATCCAACAGTTTTTCATAGCATCTCAGCAGAAAGATGCTGAATTTGCTACACTGCAGAGCAAAATCCCTAAGAGTAGGATCTATAATAACCTCTAGGCGAAGTTGAGCATCTGAATAGACTTTCTATAGAATATATCAAGAAGGTAAGTTCATCAGTTACAGTGTCATTTCATTTCTCGCCTAAATTTATCCCTTTCGAATAGCTATACATCATATTCTGATTTGGGCTTAAAAGTTAGAAAGTTTGCTAAAGTGCAGTAAAATATTTAATTAAAAACAAGCTGCAACGTAGGTTTGATACGATTTGAGTATCAGCGACCACAAATCTATACTATTTGATGCCTTATTTATCCTCCCTCATGAACTGTAGTTTACTCCTTTGATCATTGATAAAACTTGAGATTAATCATTACTAGTCCAGATATAACTTTATAAGTGGGCTCATTGAAACATCTCATAATTTAAGCATTAATCTTTTTAATATGCTCTGGTCTCTATATTTTATGATATTCTGATCGCAGGATTTTCATCAAGATTCCAAGAAATTGTTTGGGTTAATTTTTGCATAGTCTCAGAAAGTATTGGCGTTCACACTCATGTGATTCATTAGTCTATCAGTAAGTAAATCCTCATATAAATAGACCCTAAATAAAGGCATGAGTTATAAGCAAATAGTTATGGCTTGAGGGTCATCCTTATTAATCCTTGGTTTCTTTCTGATATAAGCCATTTTATTCAAAAGTTTCCTAAGTATCTCCAAATATTGATATTGAGTTATAATGCGCTTGGATACATAGGGCCTCATTTAAGCTTTTGGTGAGAGTACAAAGGACATGCCAACACATTCATCCCAGCGATATATCTACATCATTTTTATCTTGCTACTTTGACACCATCAAAGAGACACTTAACAAGTCTAATCTTTGCATTAACTGTTGCCTTACAAATAGTCCTTGCAATTTACAGGTTTGGAGAGATCGATAGCGATATCATTGCCTCAGGGCTTATGTGCATCCTGATCTCCGATCTCAGTCTCAGAATGAATCAAACAAGGCTATCTCAGATGTACCGGATGATTCTGGAGAATAGGAAACTAGTTAAAGAGAAACAAAAGGTTGTACAAGAATTTCCTCATCCAGTTTTAATACTTCCTCAAAAGATGTCAAAACTTTCGAAATGATATCCTAATGACCAATTTGAACAAAGAATCAAGACCCTTAATCATAAGATACAGGCCCTGGATAAAGTACAAGTTGAACTTTTGCAAAAAGATGAGAAAGAGAAGATTGATCATAAACTCTCTCTGCTTGAATATTTAAGTCAGATCAAGAAGCATCAAGATTATGACCAAGAAACCAAGGGGAGTACAGTTATTCACTGCAAGAATATGAACAACAAGTAAGGATTTCTTAAAGCAATCACACTTAAGTGATTCTAATTCATTGACAGATTAATTTTGTTCTAATAGGGAAAACATCAAAGAGAATGCCAAAAATATAACCAAAAGAAACTTTCACATTAAATCCCTTCACATTGAGTGGAAAGAAGTCCCTTCAGTGATGCATGTCTTTATTGACACGACAGATATTATCAAACTGGAGCAGGCGAAGAGCAAAATTAGGGTGCAGAAGATCATGTTTGCAAGCATCAGTCATGAGTTCATGACTCCCTTGAATGCGATCATTCATTCATACAAATTTATTGAGACAGGGTTTAAAGACATACTTCAGATGTTACAACAAAAAGTCCCTCAAGATCTAATCAACAGTAAGAGTTTCCAAGACCAGGTAGAGTTCATCTTGAAGTTTATCAAAACCGGATCAACTTCATCAGTCCTTCTGTTGTCTCTCGTAGAAGATATTCTGAGTTTATCTAAGATAGATATTGGCACATTATCTGCTAGTTTTAATCTCTTCTATGTCCCTGAACTCCTTCAAGATGTACATTCTTTATTCTCTGTCCAATGACAGAATAAAAGAATCGACTTGGCGATTGATTGTGAAGATGATCTGCAGATCTGCAAAATTAGTAGTGACTGCAATAGGATCAAGCAAATCCTTGTGAACCTTGTATCGAACTCGGTGAAGTTTACCTTCAGAGGCTCTATCACTATGAAAGCTGCTCTCAAGAAGACTCTGGAAGGCGATGACATTGTTGAGTTCAGAGTCTGTGATACTGGCACTGGCATTAAAGAAGAAGACCAAGAGCACCTTTTCCAAATGTTTGAGATCATTGGACAGGATGAGGACCTGAGTCCTGATGGGTGTGGGCTAGGACTTACCATCAGTAAGAAGTATGTGGAGCTGCTTGGAGGAGAAATATGCATTGAATCAGTGTATGGTAAAGGAACAATAGCGATATTTACTATAATGATTCACGAAATTACTAAATGTCCATCTAAAAGACCTCGCTTTTTATCAGAACTTAAAGATTCCCCAGAAAACTCGTTTGGAAGTATGTCAGGACTAGATTTCAAAGTCAACGAAGAATATGACTCGAAAATATGAACTACTCATAGACTCCCTGCCAGCAATATTCATCTTTCAAAGTTTTCATATAACTAATTCTGTAATATTCCCTTTAATTGATTGTAACTTTGAGTTTGCGAGTTCTTTGATACTGTTCTAAACTGTCACTAATTTATGTAATCTTTTTAATTCTCTTTCAAACCTGGTAATCTCTCAAACACTTATTTATTACTGTGATGATTTTAGATAAAATATTTACTATATATGTAGCATTAAGAAAAAGTTGGGTATTTTGACAGTTAATCCACTTTTCAGCTTGATAATTTCTCCTGGAGCCCAATATTTCCAAGATGAATTCATTCATATCTTTGATTACTCCTCCATACCATTCACCTCTATGAACTATGCTTGAAGAAATTTCGAAAACATTGTTCTTAATACGAATTTTTATTCTTAAAACACCATCTAACTCATTCTAAATTGCTCTTGTAGGAAGTTAAAGTCATAACCTGAACTTAATATTAACTGTTCTCAACTCTATGTGAGGTCTCGGGGTTTTGGGGTTTTGGGGTTTTGGGG